CAGCAGCTGGCACGCTTTGCCAAGGTACACAGCTAGTTGGCAGCAGGCCCATAGATGACCCCGGGCATGTCTCACCCAGGCTCTCTCGGTGATTGTTCTGGACATCCAGCAGGTGGTGTGATGGACGGGGCCTCAGACGGGCAGGCAGGGGATCGTAAGCTCCTAGGTCTGTGTTACTCTGTGTCTCTTTCAAAATGAGAGGCCTGGCGGTTTAAGGTTCCTTCCCGCTCTGGCATTCTGCACAGTGCACTAGAGGCGACGGGGAGCTCACTACCTTACATGCCACCTGATGTTTCTGGACATCCAGCAGGTGGTGTGATGGACGGGGCCTCAGACGGGCAGGCAGGGGATCGTAAGCTCCTAGGTCTGTGTTACTCTGTGTCTCTTTCAAAATGAGAGGCCTGGCGGTTTAAGGTTCCTTCCCGCTCTGGCATTCTGCACAGTGCACTAGAGGCGACGGGGAGCTCACTACCTTACATGCCACCTGATGTTTGTTAAAAGCGTCTCCTTGGTTCTTGGTTTTTTTAAAGTGTCTCTTTTGTGCTGAGCCCAAAACTCTCTCTTTAGCTGCTGGAGTCAAAACACACACACACACACGCACACACGCATACACGCAGGGTTTGCAGGTGGGGAAACTTAGCTCCAGAGAGGAAAAGGGATTTGCTAAGGTCAACAGTGAATGGCAGAGCCTGAACTAGGCCTCTGGACTTTTGCCTTCAGGAGCCTTCATAACAAAATAAAATAATTTTTTAAAAATAGCTGTTTAGTGCCAAGCAACATGCTAAGTGCTGTATACCCACTGTGTCAGCTCTAGTAGGCAGGTCCAGTCATCCCAGTTTTACAGTTGAGGAAGCAGGCCCACAGCGAGGAAGTCCTGGAGGCAGGGCTGAGAGGTTGAGGTTTGGCCTAGGGTCACACAGCAAACGAAGAAGTCCTGGAGCCAGGTCTGACTGCAGAGCTCCAGCCCCAGGAGATGCCATCTCATGTGCAGCATGGCACCTCTCCCTCTAATTCACTGTGTCTGAGCGTCATCTCAGAAAACCCAATTTAAACATTAAGCAGCAGAGAAAATACATTTGTGTGAGTGGTGGAGGGGCAGTCGGGGTGAGGAG